CCTTCCTTCCTTCCTTCCTTCCTTCCTTCCTTCCTTCCTTCCTTCCTTCCTGTGTCTTGCCATGTAGCTCAGGCTGGCCTCAAACTTATGGTCCTCCTACCTCAGCCTCCTGAGTGCTGGGATGACAGATGATGTGACCCCCAAGCCCAGCTCAACTATACTTCATTCTGTCTGCATCTTCCAGTCTATGTCTGCCTGTCTTTCTCTCTGCCCATCTTTGTCTTTATGTTCCTCTCCATCTAGCTGTCTGTACTCCACCTCCTCTCACCCTGTTCTGTCTTCCTTCACCCTCTCCTCCCTGACCTGATGCCACCTCTGGCTCTCTGGGGGTCTCTGCCCCTTAGGATGGCTCCCGAAGTTGCAGCTGTAGCCCTGAAAGGGGGATACAATGAGCTGTGTGACATCTGGTCCCTGGGCATCACAGCCATTGAATTGGCCGAGCTACAGCCACCACTCTTTGATGTACACCCTCTCAGGTAGGCAGGAATGGCAGGTCCCCCTGGGCCTGAGATCCCGCCCCTCAGCTTATGTCCTCACATCAGAGAGGCCTCTATGGACTCACGGTGCAAAACACCTTTTCAATTTTTCGTGCACACCTGTAATCCCAACCATGTGGGAGGCAGAGGCAGGAGGATCAGATTCTAAGGCAGCTAAACAAAAAGGCAAAACCCTCCCTGAAAAATATTTAAACTCAAGCCTGGTTCCTATGGCTCGTGCCTGTCATCCTAGCTACTCAAGGAAATTAAGATCTGAGGCTCTTGGTTTGAAGCCAGCCTGGGCAGGAAAGTCTGTAAGACTCTGATCACAAATTCGCCAGCAAAATGTCAGGAGTGGAGGTATGGCTCAAGTGGTCTAATACCAGCCTTGAGTAAAAAAGGTGAAAAAGCCAAGTGAAAGCAGAAGGCCATGAGTTCAAGTCTCACTAACAGCACACACTAGATAGATAGATAGATAGATAGATAGATAGATAGATAGATAGATAGATAGATAATTAAGCAAAAAGGTCAAGTAATAGGGCATCTACCTAGCAAGTGTGAGATCTTGAGTTCAGACCCCAATGTTACCAAAAAATAAAAGCAATACCAGTCTCATCCCAGTCCACTGTCAAACTGGATCCTCATTTCCATTTGTTTCTAACATTGCTCTGCTGACCTGGGTGCTGTTAGGGAACACTGAAGCCAGGAATGTAGCTTCCTTGAAAAGGGGCCTGAACCCCACATTGCTTCCCTATTCTTTTTAGAGTTCTCTTCCTTATGACTAAGAGTGGCTACCAGCCTCCCCGGCTAAAGGAAAAAGGAAAATGGTAAACGGATGACCTGAGCGGGGACAAGGAAGGAGCGAAGGGCCAGGGCTGGATTGGGGAAAGTCCTTAGTGCCCTCACCCACAATCTGGCTTCTTCCTCCAGGTCAGCTGCTTTCCACAACTTTGTCAAAGTCACCCTCACTAAGAGCCCCAAGAAGCGGCCCAGTGCCATCAAGCTGCTCAGCGTAAGCTTCCCCTCCCAGAGGACCCCCAGTTCCCTAGGCCCCACAGTTCTCTGGGCTTTTGGTAGTTCCCTCATTTGACAGGGGTGGCAAATATCCTGGGGCCTATTAGACACATTTGGTAAAGCCTGGCACTGGTGGCTCATGCCTGTAGTCCTCCTCAGGAGGCTTGAGATCTGAGGATCATGGTTCAAAGCCAGCCCAGGTAGACTGATCTGAGAGACTTTTTTTTTTGTCGGTCCTGGGGGCTGAACTCTGGGCCTATGGACTGCCTCTCAGCTGTTCAGCTCAAGGCTAGTGCCCTACCACTTGAGCCACAACACCACTTCTGGCTTTTTTCTGCTTATGTGGTGCTGAGGAATCGAACCCAGGGCCTCATGCATGCGAGGCAAGCACTCTACCACTGAGCCAACTTCCCAGCCCCTGAGAGACTCTTAACTTCACTAAACCACGAAGAGAGAGAGAGAGAGAGAGAGAGATGGAAATGGAGCTATGGCTCAAGTGGTAGCCTGTAGCAAAAAAACAAAAGCTCAGGAACAGTACCTTGGCCTGAGTTCAAGCCCCAGGACCAGCACAAAGGAAAGAAAAATAGTATTGGGGCTGGGAAGGTGGATCAGTAGTAGAGTGCTTCCCTTGCGTGCACAAGGCCCTGGGTTCAATTCCTTACACCACATAAAGAGAAAATGCCGGAAGTGGTGCTATGGCTCAAGTGGTAGAGTGCTAGCCTTGAGCTGAAGAGCTTAGGGACCCAGAGTTCAGGTCCCACAACTGACAAAAAAAAAAATAGTATTTGAAGGGACAAACACCTATCCTGTTCATTGGCTGTCTGCAGCCATCTGCTTATGTTGACAATTTTGTATGACCTATAATATTATAAATAATTGAATCACCCTTGTCAGAAAGAAGGCTCCTCATTTTCCTTCTGGGGTTATAGAACCCCAGTGACCCCTGCAAAGTCTCTATAATCCCTTGGAATCTCCCAGGACCTCCACCAGACCCTCTATATTGTGCTTCCAAATCTTGCTTTTTTCCTTTTTAGTGCCAGTCCTGGGGCTTGAACTCAGGGCATGGGCACTGTCCCTGAGCTTTTTTTTTTTTTTCCCCTGAGTTTCTTTTGCTCAAGGCTAGCACTCTACCACTTGAGCCGAAGTGCCACTTCTGGCTATTTCTGCTTATGTGGTACTAAGGAATCAAACCCAGGGCTTCATGCATGCTAGGCAAGTACTCTACCACTAAGGTACATTCCTAACCCCTAACTAAGCTTTTTTGCTCAAAGATAGCACTTGAGCCACAGCTCCACTTCTGGCTTTTTGCTGGTTAATTGGAAATCAGAGTCTCATGGACTTTGTCACCTGGGCTGGCTTTGAACCTCGACCCTCAGATTTCAGCCTCCTGATTATCTAGGATAATAGGCGTGAGTCACCAGTGCCCTACTCCCCAAATCTTTCTGTGATTCCCCTAAATTGCTAGAATTTGCCGTGTCCCATGAGTCTCGTTTCTGAGACTCCTCTCAAATCTATCCCACTGCTTCTAAGGACCTTCTTCCGTTGGCTTCTAAGAATCCCTGTAGTTCCAGAAATTCTCCCTTCTGAGAACCCTAAATTCTTCTAATCCCTTCAGACTTCTCACAATTCTCTAGACTTTCCTGCCTTCCCCATCAGCTGTCACTGCCCCCATGGGTCCCCTTAGGTAGGGAAACCCTGTCACAATCTTCCCTCCATAACCCCTGTGTGCCAACACTCCCTCCTCCCACAGCATCAGTTAGTTTCTCAGGCTGGGCTGAACAGAGGCCTCATCCTAGATCTTCTTGACAAAATGAGGAACCCGGGAAAAGGGCCCCCTGTTGGTGAGATTGAAGATGAGGAGTCGGAGGTGAGGTTCTACCAATCCCCCCTCTGCCAAGAGAGATGCCATCCCATAGCCTCTCCTAGAAAGAACACAGAAGAGGAAGGGGGGTTGGCTTGGCACAGTGCTGGGTGCAGAGGATTAAGGTAGAGAAGAAAGCTCCTGGCTAGGCCGATAGGTTGATTATGGGTTCGGGGGTGGGCACAAGTCCTGATGCAGCCTGCCCCTCTGCCCAGCCACCCCCTGCCGTCCCTCGGCGGATCAGATCAACTCACCGGTCCAGCTCTCTGAAAATCCCAGATGCAGATCATTATGGTAAGTAGATAGAATTCTGCAGTTTGGAGATGCCTGGTCCTATACTTGATTGAGAAGACCCCTTTGATCTACCATCTTCCCTCCCTCCCTCCCTTCCTTCCTTCCTCTTTCTCTCTCTTTCTTTCTTTCCTTTCATTCATTTGTTCATTCATTTTGTGTCAGTCCTGGAGCTGGAACTCAAGGCTAAGTACTGCTCCTGAACTCCTTTGCTCAAGACTAGAGCTCTACCACTTTGAGCCACAGCACCACTTCCGGTTTTCTGGTGGTTAATTGGAGATGAGTCTCATGGAGGATGGGTGCTGGTGGCTCATGCCTATAATCCTAGCTACTCATGACATCTGAGGATCATGATTCAGAGCCAGCCTCGGCAGGAAAGTCTGTGAGACTCTTTTCTCCAATTAACCACCAGAAAACTGGAAGTGGCTCAAAGTGGTTACCACCTGACCTATAAAATAACCATAGAAATGTGCCCCACCCCCTCTCCCACTTGACCTTTCTGAGCTGCAGACTCCCAAAACACCTCCCATCTCATCCCCCCAAAACACTTACTTGAACCGTTGGTTCTCAAATATATCCTTAAGCCTTCTATAATTGAAATCCCTCCACTTCCCAGTTCTAAAATCTTAATATTCCCCTCCCCACAAAAGGAGACCTCTGTAATCCAAGGCTTATCCCCAAGGGGCCAACACACCAATCCCCTAGCTTTTCCTTCCTCCTCTCAAGTTCCTCTCCCTGCCCCACTGGTTCAACTGTCCTCTCCTCCCAGAGTGGCACATGGAATTCAGGAGGCTGAGAGGCATGGAGCCTGGATCCCAGGCCAACACGGTGAGCTGCTGCCTCCCTCCCCTCTGCCCACATCCTCCCCTTCCCCCCAGGCCAAACTAACCCTCCTCCTCCCATCCTTCAGGCTTGCTTACAGCCCCCTGAAGACCTCAGCAGCAGCAGATCCAGGTCAGGGACCCCTGGGTGTGTGTGTGTGTGGAGGGAGGGGGTACCAGCATATGTAGGGATTGCCTGAGACTCATACCCTACTCTCTTTAGGAGATCTCTATCAGATTCTGATGATGACTATGATGACGTGGACATGTAAGAGGCCCTGTCCCATAGCCCCCCCCATGTGACAGCTCCACCTTACCTCCAACCTTATCTCTACCCTGACCCTGAACCCTGACCTCCCCCCCCATGCAGCCCTCACCTTCCTTCCTCCACAAACCCTGCTCCCCAGTTCTACCCTCTCCCTTCACCTCTGACTTCTGACCCCTGACCTCTCATCTATCCCATCTCTAACCTCCACCCTCAACTTCAGCCCCCCCAGCTGTCCTCAGCTCCCTGACCTGTCCCATCTCCATCTGAAATGTTCCCTTGCCCAATGCCACAGTCTCCTCCTCCCACATATTTGCCTGCACCCCCAAACCTCAGCTTCAGACCTAACCCTCCATCTCTCAACATCTCATTTGACCTCAGATCTTGGTTTCTGTAAATTTCGCCTTGCCCCACACCCAGACTTACCCTGTGTGGTTGGGCTCCCATGGCCCGTGGTGGGGTCTGGGATTTCCTGCTGATTGTATCACCAGGTGCCTGGGAAGATGGGAGTGCTCGGTGTATTGCCAGTCTCCTGGTATATTGCCAACCTTGAATGCTGGGTGTATTGCCAGCCCTTGCTACCCCTGAGTTGCTCCTGTTCCCTGGCTGTCAGCCCCATAGTCCTCAGCTCCAGCCATACTTCCTCTCCCCAACACCACCACTGCCTTCCCAGCCCTGAACATACCAACTTCCCTGCTCCTCCTTGCTTATCCCATCTTTGTCTTTCAGCCCCACCCCTGCAGAGGATAAGCCTCCTCCACTGCCCCCCAAGGTAAGGCCCTGAGTCCTTAGATGCTGAGACTCGGGGATCCCCAGGGCTTGGGAATCTGGGGTGATAGAAACTTGAACATGTCAGCAGCCACTCGAGTATTTGGTTTGTGGGGTACAGTGGGAAAGCAGGGTGAAGGCTAGAGTGGAGAGAGGTCATTGGCCTCAGCCAACTCTGTACCTGTGGAGTCAGGGACTGGGGGAGGGGGTGCAAGGGTACCCTCTTTCTGAGTCCATCTGATGTTTCTCCATGTTTCCTCCTTCTGTCTCCAAAGCCCAAGTCCCGTTCTCCGTCAGATGATGGCTTTGGGAAGATGGAGGATGAGGGGCAATTGAGCCCAGGGGTGCTGGTCCGGTGTGCCAGCGGGCCTCCCCCACGTACCCCTCATCTCGGACCCCCCCTAGCCACTCGCAGCCCCCACCTAACTGCCCACTCAGGTAAAGGATAGGCTGGGGAAGAAGGGGGAGGGCAGGAGTGGCAGGGAGGCCCCTAGACGCTGATTTTGTTCCAATCCCTCTCAGAACCCTCACTCTGGAACCCAGCTTCCCGAGAGCCTGACCAGCCCCCACGGTTGCCCCCTAGAAAGGAAAAGATGAAGAGAAAGGTAAGAGGCTGCTATGTGCCTTATGGTTGCCTGGTGTCCTGGGAGTAGGAGAGACTTAGAACAGTAGGTGATATTTATTGAGCCTTTTGTGCCAGCCACTGATCTCGTGTCTTTACCTGGTGTAAGCCTCCACAGACAGAAACATATCACAGAGGTAGATATTATCCTCCATGTCACAGTTGGGAAACTGAGGAACAGAAGAGTAAGTAGCTTGCCTGAGTTCTGTATACAGTATACCTCCTGATCTATGGTGGCTATGTTCTCAGACCTCCCCCCCCGCCCCACATACACCAGTAGATACCTTGTGGATAGTACTCAATTCTATATTTTTATTTTTCCTATCCAAGCATACCTATGTGAAAGTTTAATTGGTAAGTTAGACACAGTAAGAGAATAACAGAAATGAAAAGGTAGCTTAGTGGTAGAGCACTTGTTTAGTATACATGAGGCCCTGGGTTCAATTCCCAGAACCACCTAAAATAGAGAGACAGACAGGACAGAAAGAGGGGGTAAGAGGAGGCCACAAGGCATATAATAACTATAGTCAAGATGGGCACTGGTGGCTCATACCTGTAATCCTAGCTACATACCTGTAATCCTAGCTACTCTGGAAGCTGAGATCTGAGGACCACAGTTCAAAGCCAACTTTGGGCAAAAATGTCCCAGAGACTCTTGCCTCCAATTAACCAGCAAAAAAGCCAGAAGTAGGGCTGGGAATGTGGCTTAATGATAGAGTGCTTGCCTAGCATGCATGAAGCCCTGGGTTTGATTCCTCAGCACCAAATAAACAGAAAAAGCCAGAAGTCGCACTTTGGCTCAAGTGGTAGAGTGCTAGTCTTGAACAAAAAGAAGCTCAAAGACAGTGCCCAAGCCTTGGGTTCAAGCCCCAGAACTGGCAAAAAAAAAAAAAAAAAAGCCAGAAGTGGAGATGGAGATACTGCTCAGGTGGTAGAACCTCAGCCTTGAACAGAAAAGCCAAACAAATGTGAGAATCCCTCAGTTCAAGCCTCAATATGGGCACACAAACAAAAATAATAACTATAATCAAATAAGATAATTAGGGCAATATCCTGTTTAGGGAGATATGCATTTTATATTCTCTTTTTTTTTTTGGGTCCAGTCGTGGGGCCTGAACTCTGGGCCTGGGCGCTGTCCCTCAGCTCTTCAGCTCAAGGCTAGGGCTCTACCACTTGAGCCACAGTGCCACTTCCGGCTTTTTCCTTATGTGGTGCTGAGGAATCGAACCCAGGGCTTCAGGCATGCAAGGCAAGCACTCTACCACTGAGCCACCTTTCCAGCCCCGAGATATGCATTTTAAATAAGATTTTTAAATATATATATTTTTGCCAGTCTTGGGGGCTTGAACTCAGCCTGGGTGCTATACCTGAGTTTTTTTTTTTTTTTTTGTCCATCGTGGGCCTGAACTCTGGGCCTGAGCGCTGTCCCTCAGCTCTTCAGCTCAAGGCTAGCGCTCTAGCACTTGAGCTACAGAATCACTTCTGGTTTTCTGGTAGCTTATTGGAGCTAAGAGTTTCACGGACTTTCCTGCCTGGGCTGGCTTTGAACTGCTATCCTCAGCCTCCTGAGTAGCGAGGATTATAGGTGTGAGTCACTGGCGTCTGGCTCTGACTTTTTTCTGAGTAGATTATTGGAGGTAAGAGTCTCTCAGCCTTTTCTACTCGGGCTGGCTTCGAACCATGATTCTCTTATCTCAGAGAAGCTAGATTTACAGGCATGAGCCCATTAGTGCCCAGCTAAGACTTACAATTTTTTAATCTGGAATTTTCCATGTAATGTATTTGGACTACAGTTAACCACAGGTAACAGACCATGGAAGCAGAGGTAGGATTTGAACCCTGGCACTCTTGCTCCAGAATCCTAACCATTGTACTTTCCTGTCCCCTATTTTCTTTTGCTGTGTTTGCTTCCTTCTCCGGCCCTAACCCAGGGATGTGCTCTTCTTGTAAAGCTGTTCAATGGCTGCCCTCTTCGGATCCATAGCACAGCAGCTTGGACACACCCCTCCACCAAGGGTGGGCATTTGGGAGGTCCAGAAGGGCCTGGGGTGGGGGTGGGGAGCCAGGGTGGGCTAGGAGACTTTAAGGAAAGGTACAAGGCAAGTATAGGGAGGGTCTCATTGGGGTATGGGGGGAATGGCCAAGACTGTGGTTACAGTTGGATCTAGAGATATAAGAGAAGAGCAAAAATGAATTGGAGAGTGAATGCAGGAAAGTTAAGAGTTTAGAGGCCCAGAGATGTTCAAATATAATAGAATATCTAGAGTAGGAGATATACAATTGATGACAAAAGTCAGCTGGAGGTTAATGAGTTAATGGTAGCAACTGGGATCAATGTTTTGGGGTCTGGAGTTGGAGGGTCAGTGAGGATCTCAGTGTTTCTTCTTTTTTTTGGGGGGGGGGTCCGGTCGTGGGGCCTGAACTCTGGGCCTGGGCGCTGTCCCTCAGCTCTTCAGCTCAAGGCTAGGGCTCTACCACTTGAGCCACAGTGTCACTTCCGGCCTTTTTCTTTTTGCTTATGTGGTGCTGAGGAATCGAACCCAGGGCCTCAGGCATGCAAGGCAAGCGCTCTACCACTGAGCCACCTTCCCAGCCCCGGTCTCAGTGTTGAATAAATAAATCAGAGCTAGGTGGTGGCTCACTCCCGTAACTCTAGCTATGTGGGAGGCTACTACACTTGTAGGAGTGTAGTTCCAGGCTAGCTAGGGCAAGAAAAAAGAAAGTGAGACTCCATTTAAATGGAAGAAGCTGGTCATGGTGGCATATGCTTATCATTCCAGCTATAGTAGAAATTGAAAAATAGGTGGATTGTGGTCCAGTCACATGCCAAGTCAAGAAGCAAGACCCTTTCTCAAAAATAAATAACAAAAAAAAAAAAAGAGCTGGATGCATAACTCAGTGAGTGACCGCCTCCCTTTCTAGTGTGAGATCCTAAGTTCAAATCTCAATACTGTGCCCAACCCCTGCAACAGATAGCTGTTAAGCCAGGTACTGGTAGCTCATGCCTGGAATCCTAGCTACTCAGGAGGCTGAGACCCTGTCACAGTTCAGCGATCTTTGGCAGAAAAAGCCATATTTGGGGATGTCTGAGCTAAGGATTTGTGTGCAGTGGGAACTTGGCAGTGGGGAAAAGAGGAGAAGGTGTAGAGTCTATTTGGAGTGACAGGTACAAGGTTGGGTGAGAAATGAGGGCAACACAGCCAAAATTTTGTGGATCAGGAATAGAAGAACGGTCAGGCATAGATGGAGGATGCTAAGAATAATATTAAGTGACAGGGTGGGGTTTGGGCTAGATTTGGGGGAGACAGACTGGGGAAAGTTGGAGGATAAAGGGGTAGATATGAGAACCTGAGAGACAAGATTTACAGAGCTCAGACAGGTGGGGAGATGGGAGGTCCCTGGGATGAGGTAGGACCCAGCATCCTGTCTGCCCCCCACTTCCCAGACCAGCACCTGCTTCTGGGGGCAGAGGAAGGCATCTTCATCTTGAATCGAAATGGCCAGGAGGCCACAATGGAGATGGTGAGGGATGGTGCCTTGGCGGGGTGTGAGGGTGTGGGGGGGGGGAGGGGGGCAGGGAGTGGGAGTGTGTGTGCAGAATGATCTTGGTGGGTACTGCATAGCCGTCTCCTGCTACTCTCTGCAGCTCTTTCCTAGCCGGACTACCTGGGTGTACTCCATCAACAACGTCCTCATGTCCCTCTCAGGTCTGCCGGAGGTGGGGGGAGGAAGGGAAAAGGGGAGAAGTTAAGGGGTCAAGGTTAGGAGAAAGGGACACAGATAAGCACAATTGAGAAAAAGCATTGGTGGCTCATGCCTGTATTGCTAGCCTCTCAGGAGGCTGAGATCTAAGGACTGAGATTCAAAAAGCCAGCTAGGGCAGGAAAGTCCATGAGACTTTTATCTCTAACCACCAGAAAAGGAGAAGTGGCACTGTGACTCACAGTGGTGGAGCATTAGCTTTGTGCCAAAGAGCTCAGGGACTGCTCCTAGGCCCCGAGTTCAAGCTCTACAACTGACAGAAAAAAATCCCTTCGAGACCATGTGTGGTAGTATATTCCTCTGATCTCCAGGCAATTAGGATCCCAGCAACTGAGAAACTCCTCTCCCAAGAAAGGAAGGGGTGGGACTTCTGCAGTTGAGTTCAAGGTCATACTGGTATACATAGTAAGTTCAAGGCCTGTTTGAGCTACATAACAAAACCCTGTCTCAATAATAATAGTAATATAATAATAATAATAATAGAAGTGATATACAAAAATAAAACAAAAATTTCAGCCTTAGGTTCTAATATCAACTCTGTGTGTGTGTTGGTAATGAGGTCTCCCATGCTCTTGTTTACCTTTTTCTGCTGGCTTTTTGCTGGTTAATTAGAGATGAATTTCATGGATTTTCCAACCATGATCTTCAGATCTGAGCCTCTTGAGTAGCTGGATTGCAGGCCTGAGTCACTGTACCCATCTTACATTTAATTTTTGATTGTAGGGCAGGAAGGGAATGAATGAGGCATGCTTGGGATGTGCAGTCTTTGGAGTTCCAAAGGGCAAGAGCCAATGGAGGGATGGAAGAAAGGAGGGGGTCTCCAGGGTCCTATAACTACTTCCTGCTTCCCCCCTACATACACACACTGCAGGAAAGACCCCCCACCTGTATTCTCATAGCATCCTGGGCCTGCTGGAACGGAAAGAGACCAGAGCAGGAAACCCTATCGCTCACATTAGCCCCCACCGCCTACTAGCCAGGTATCAGCCCCCAAGCGGCAGCCTTGACTCCTATGACCTCCTGCCCCCATCACTGCCATCTCACACCCATTCACATCCATCTCTTCTTCAGAAAGAACATGGTCTCCACCAAGATCCAAGACACCAAAGGCTGCCGCGCATGCTGTGTAGGTGAGAGTCCCCACCCCCAGGGATGGCAGGGGGACAGGGCTTCTGCAGCATCCTCCCAAGAAGGCTGAGGAATTAAGACAGCACGTCTCAGGGTCCAGGGGAAGAAGTGTGGTTCTCACTAGAGGAGAACAAGGAGGAAAGGAGATTGATGTTTACCCATTGTTGCCCACTCCTACAGCAGAGGGTGAGAGCTCTGGGGGTCCGTTCCTGTGTGGGGCATTGGAGACATCAGTGATCCTGCTTCAGTGGTACCAACCTATGAACAAGTTCTTGCTGGTCCGGGTAAGGTCCCCGAAGGAGTCAGGGTGTTGGGGGACAGGGATGTTGTGGCTGAGGTCTCACACCTTCTATGCTTCTGAAGAGAGTTCGGGGAGGCCCCACCCACTCCCCCTTTCATCCTTAAGCTCCGCTCCCACAACCTATTCCTAATTCTATTCCAGACCCTTTGTCCTATCTGAAGGGCTCATTCAGAGTCCACTTTGAGTCTATAAGCAAATTTTTTTGCCCTTGGGACAGCAAGGATCTTGGGCATGTGTGTGTGTGTGTGTGTGTGTGTGTGTGTGTAAATCCTTATCTTTCTATTGTTAGGCTGGTACACCCCCAAACGAAGCTGCACCCTTGTTCCTAAGGAGGCATCCCTAATTCCTGAGTCTTCACTCTTTTAAGACTTCTTTCATCCCCCTTCATCCCTAGGAAATTCTTGGGAAGTCCCAGGCCTGCTGCAAGGCCCTGTCCCATAGGCCCCGCCCCTGAGTCCGCCCCTCCTCGTTTGTCCCCCCTTCCCCTCCCTCCCCGCAGCAGGTGCTGTTCCCGTTGCCCACGCCGCTGCCAGTGTTCGCGCTGCTGAGCACGCCAGGCTCCGAGCTGCCGTCCGTGTGCATCGGCGTGAGCCCCGGGAAACCCGCCAGGTCGGTGGTCTTCCATACCGTGCGCTTCGGCGCGCTGTCCTGTTGGCTGGGCGAGGAGAGCACGGGTGAGTGGGGTGTGTCGCAGAGGGCGGAGCTGGAGAGGGTGGGGCTTAGCCCTCCTGGAAGGGTGGACCTGATTGGGCGATCCTGGAAAAGGGCAGGGCTTGGGGAGGGGAAAGAATAGCGGCTTTTATGTGATTGGTAAGATTGAGGAGGGGGTGGGGCTTGTGTGGTAGGCGGGGACTACTTGCTTGGGATTTACCTGGTGCTTAGCAGAGGCTCTAGTCTTCTAGGGGTGGTGTGGGAGAGAAATTGGTTCTTAATCCCTCCCCACAATCTCTCAAACAGAACACAAGGGACCTGTACAGGTGACCCAGGTAAAAGAAGACATGGTGATGGTGTTGATGGATGGTAAGAAACATTCTTCCATTTCCCTACCCCAGGACCTGGTGCCTGCCTTTCAGGCCCTGGTATATCTGGGTCTTAGGTAAAAACCTCACTCAGCTGAATGTTGGTGGCTCACACTGGTAATCCTAATTACTCAAGGAGGCTGGGATCTAAGGATCACGGTTCAAAGCCAGCCCAGGCAGGAAAGTCCGTGAGACTCTTACCCTAAGTAATCACCAGAAAAACCAAAAGTGGAGCTGTGGCCCAAGTGTTAGAGCACTAGCTTTGAACAACAACAACAACAACAACAAAAGCTCAGGGAAGACAGAACCCAAGCCCTGAGTTCAAGCCCCAGGACTGACACAAAAACAAAATAAAACAAAACCTCACTCTACTTCTCTCCAGGCTCTCTGAAGCTGGTAACTCCAGAAGGGGCCCCAATCCGGGGACTTCGCACCACTGAGATCTCTATGACGGAAACAGTAGAGGCTGTGGGTGCGTTGGGGATGGGAGGGCCCAGGGTTGGGCAGAGGCTTTAGGGATCCAGCAATCTCAAGGGTCACGGATACTGCTTTCTCTGCAGCTATGGTTGGAGGCCAACTTCAGGCCTTCTGGAAGCATGGGGTGCAAGTGTGGGCTCCAGGCTCAGATCAGGTGAGTTTCTCCCCTCCAAACTCAGCATTCCACCCCCTCCCTAAGTCATTCCATTATCAGATGAGCTTGGAAAACCCAAGTCAGGTCTTGGAGTCCACTGGGGATGCTTTCCCTTTGTTTCAGCTCAGATTTGGATCCCTTGTCTGCCTCTGGAACCCCAGTAGTATTCTGGGCCCTTGTGACCTTCTGCAAGGGATTTTGTTCTGAGACTTTGTTTCCCAATTGCAATATGGGGGCCAATGTAGAGAGCTGTGGATGGTTAAGAGCATGGAGTAGAATCCCATGGGCACATGACATGTGTGTGTGTGTGTGGTTAGAATTGGGCTTGTACTCAGGGCCTTGGAACTGTCCCTTAGCTTTTTCTACTCAAGGCTCTACCACTTGAGTCACACTTCTACTTCTGGCTTTTTATTGGTGGGGGGGTCCAGTCGTGGGGCCTGAACTCTGGGCCTGGGTGCTGTCCCTCAGCAATTCAGCTCAAGGCTAGCACTCTACCACTTGAGCAACAGCGCCACTTCCGGCTTTTTTTTTCTGCTTATGTGTTGCTGAGGAATCGAACCCAGGGCCTCAAACATGCAAGGCAAGCACTCTACCACTGAGCCACCTTCCCAGCCCTGGCTTTTTTTGTTGTTGTTGTTGGTCCTGGGTCTTGAACTCTGGGCCTGGGCACTGTCCTTCAGCTCTTCAGCACTAGGCTAGCGCTCTACCACTTGAGCTACAGTGCACTTCTGGTTTTCTAGTGGTTTATTGGAGATAAGAGTCTCATGGAGGGGCTGGGAAGGTGGCTCAGTGGTAGAGTGCTTGCCTAGCATGCATGAGGCCCTGGGTTCAATTCCTCAGCACCACATAAGCAAAAAGAAAAAAGCCGGAAGTGGCGCTGTGGCCCAAGTGGTAGAGCGTTAGCCTTGAGCTGATGAGTTGAGGGACAGTGCCCAGACCCAGAGTTCAGGCCCCACAACCGGACCCCCCCCCAAAAAAAAAGTCTCATGGACTTTCTTGCCCAGGCTGGCTTTGAGCCGCGATCCTCAGATCTCAGCCTCCTGAGTAGCTAGGATTAACAGGTGTGAGCCACCAGGGCCCGGCTCACTTCTGGTTTTTTGGTAGTTAATTTGAGAGAAGACTCTTGTCTCAGATTTTTCTGCCCAGGCTGGCTTTGAACCATGATCCTGAGATCTCATCTCCTGAGTAGCTAGGTGTGAGCCATCTGTTCTGGACTGACCACATGACATTGTCTTTCTGTGCTTCACTGTCCTGCATGGGCAATGGTAGGGAAATGGGGACTCATGTCATGGAGCACCATGCCAGATTACTGAGATCACAATCACCCATCAAGTGTTTAGTAAGAGTTTGCAGGTTAGCCATCTGAAGCACAGAGAGGTTAAGTAACTTGCTGGAGGTCTCACAGCTGTTGTGTACTGTTGGAAATGATTGGTTCTGGACTTAGACATTCAGAAACCTCTACAGGCTGGTGTGGAAGGGAGGGGGCTTCTTGATTACTCACACAGTTGATTTTTCTGTAGATGCTGCAAGAGTTAAGAGATCCCACCCTCACCTTCCGCTTGCTTGGCTCCTCCAGGTATGGTGGTGGCAAGGGGGAGGGCAGGAGAACCTGGGAAGGGGCCCTGAAGTAGAGAAGCCATCCAGAGGTGTCTGCAGCCATCTGGATCTTTGGCCTGGACAGCCTCTCCAATCTCCCTGTCCTCATTGTCTGTGCATGCATGGCTACCAAAGGGATAGTTTCCTTCTTTCTTTCTTCTTCTTTCTTTCTTTCTTTCTTTCTTTCTTGCCACTCTTGGGGCTTGAACTCAGGACCTGGGCACTGTCCCTGAGCTTCTTTTGCTCGAGGTTAGCACTCTACCACTTGAGCCACAGCACCACTTCCAGCTTTTTCTGTGTATATGATACTGAGGAATCAAACTCAGGACTTCATGCATGCTATGCAAGCACTCTACCACTAAGCCACATTCCCAGCCCCAGACAGTTTCCTTTCTAACTGGATTGGGACTTGAACTCAGGGCCTTACGTTTGCTAAGTAAGTGCTCTACCACTTGAGCCATATCTCCAGTTTGCCATGTTTCTTTTTATTTATTTATTTTTATTGTTATCGGATGTGGGGCTGGAACTCAAGGTCTGGGCACTGTCTCTAAGCTTGTTCGCTCAAGGCTAGCACTCTACCACTTTGAGCTACAGCACCACTTCCAGTTTTCTGGTTGTTAATTGAAGATAAAGAGTTTCATGGCCTTTCCTGCCTGGGCTGGCTTTGAACCACCATCCCCTGATCTCAGTTTTCTGAATAGCTAAGATTACAAGTGTAAACCACCAGCACCTGGCTTAAAGTTATTTTTTTAAAAATAGCTATTTTTTTAAAGTAAAAAGTTCATGATAGTCTTATCTCAAAAAAAAAAGCTGGAAGAAGCTGGGTGCTGGTGCTCACACCTAATCCTAGTTACTTAGGAGGCTGAGATCTGAGGATCACGATTCAAAGCCAGCCTGGGCAAGAAAGTCTGTGAGACTCTTATCTCCAATAAACTATTCAGAAAACTGGAAGTGGCACTGTGGCTCTAATGGTAGAGTGCTAGCCTTGAGCTGAAGAGCTGAGTGACAATGCCCTGGCCCAGAGACAAGCTCCAGAACCAACCTAAAAAAAAAAGCTGGAAGTAAGGATGTGGCTCAAGTGGTAGAGCTCTAGCCTTGAACAAAGAAACCTCAGGGACAGCACTCAGACCTTGAGTTCAAGCCCTAGGACTGGAACACACACAAAAAAAGATCAGAAGGTTTTTTTCATTGTTGTCTTCAGACAATCTCAGTACATAGCCTAGGCTGGCCTTAAACGCATGGTCCTATTGCCAAAGCCTCTCAAGTACTAGAATTAATGGCATACATTACCACACCTAGCTTGCTCATTCATTTTGACAGGGTCCCATTGGGCTGGCAGTTTCTATTACCTACTTTGTGAAGGAGTGAATAAATGAAAAAACAAATGACTTCTCCTTTTCCAGGCCTGTAGTGGTGGAGACAAGGCCAGCAGATGACCCTACTGCCCCCAGCAACCTCTACATCCAGGAATGAAGTTCTGGGTGGGGGTGGGGGGCTATTAGGAAGAATTCTCTGCACACATACACCCCAACAAATACACACTATTCATCATGTGAAGGCCTGGTCTTTCAATAAACTGACTTCAGCCTCTACTATCATCTTGGTTTTGTATTGGGGGAGGGGAGGCAAGATTTCTAGATGCTCACTTCCCCAAACTCCCAACGACTCAATGTAATGATGCCAAGGGTGTAGCACAGACTTTATTTCCAAGTACAAGGGCACCTCTCCCCCTCCTCCCCAGCTGCCTGGGGGCAGGGGCTTTGGGGCTAAGGACTTGCAATGAGAATAAGGCACTTGAAGTGGTGGCTGGGGGCAGGGTGAGGGCCAGCTGGGAAGAAGGCTCTCAGCTAAGCTGGTCCTCATACTGCTTGCGGAAACAGTCGCCAGCTGGGAAGAAGTCCCAACATCTCTCTTGGTACATCTTCCAGACGTAAGATTCCTAGGGGGAGGGAGGGAAGAGTCCCTTGGTGACATCCTCAAGTAGTTGGTATTGACAGAAACTTTCAAAGTTCCCTTTAATCCTAGTCCTTTTTTTTTTTTTAAATTACACTGGTCTTTTTTTTTTTTAAATTACACTGGTCTTACCTGCCCTGTGTGTTCAGTCTCATCCTTGTTTATCAAATACATCAGGAAAAACCTGGAAAAAAGGGCCATGGAGAAGCTTCAGAACCACCCCTACCTTCTGATTTTTTGTTTCATTCTGGTGTGGAACCCAGGTTCTCAGGCTAGATCTCTACCTTTAAGCCACCCCCGCCCCCCACCAACCCAAACCTTACTTTCAGATTGGCTGGCTGAGGACCCACCCACATGGACACTATGCCTCTTTCCCTAAAAGACCAAACCTTAGTAGTATACTTAGTCCCCTGGACATCAGTGACCACGCCCCTCCCTCCTGATTGGCCAGCATCTGCCCCCTCTCACATGTAATTGGCCAGGTTGTGTTCCTCTAGTGTGTGGGTCTCAAACCCATGTGGTGTTGTATCGAAGTAGTCACTGCCTATTCCACAGATGAAGCACTTGGTCTGTAGGTTGTGAAAGACATTAGGGTTGAGGGCCATTTGACTCCCCTCCCCCCCAGCATTCCATAATCCCTCTGAGTTAGCCCCATGCAGGACCCACCTCCATATCCTCCTTCACTTGTTCTTGTTGGTCTCGGAGCTCCCCAAAAGCGTCAATAATCAGACCTGGGGTGGCAGGACACAGGTCAGTGCCAGACTCAGCCCCACAGATTCCTATCAACTTATCTCAGGACCTTGCCTTTCTCCCACTTTAGGAATCTCACCTCCCTTCCTCAGATTAAAACTAGATGTTGGGCTGGGAAGTTGGCTCGGTGGTAGAGTGCTTGCATTGCATGCATTAAGCCCTGGGTTCGATTCCTCAACACCACAAACAGAAAAAAGTGGTGCTGTGGCTCAAGTGGTAGGGTGCTTCTTGCCTTGAGCTGAAGAGCTGAGGGACAGTGCCCAGGCTCAGAGTTCAGCCCCCACAATGGACAAAAACAAACAAAAAAAACCCGATGTTGATTGAGCATTTTGTGTGTGTTTGCCTGTAGTGAGGCTTGACCTCAGTGGGGCCTGGATGCTGTCCTTTAGCTTTATTTGCTCAAGACTGGCATTTTACCACTTGAGCTACAACTCTACTTCCAGCTTTTTGGTGTGGTTCATTGGAGATGTCTCAAGGACTTTTCTCTTGGGCTGGCTTTGAACTTTGATGCTCAGAGCTCAGCCTCCTGAGTAGCCAGAATGCCCTGGAGCACTTTTATGAGACTTTTTTTTGTGCCAGTGCTGGGCTTGAACTCAGGGCCTGAGCACTGTTCCTGAGCTTCTTTTGTTCAAGACTAGCACTCTACCACTTGAGCCACAGTGCCACTTCCGGCTTTTCCTGTTTATGTGGTACTGAGAAATTGAACCTGGGGCTTCATGCATGCTAGGCCAGCACTCTACCACTAAGCCATATTCCCAGCCCCAAGAAACACCTTAAAAACTATGGATTGTCTTAATCCTTCTAACACCTTGTGGTTGACCTCATGAACACCTCCATTGTGCAGATGGCCCAGAAAAGATCATTTAAGTACCCAAGCAGGGAAGAGACAGTGTTGGGGTAGAAATCAGAGACCTACAGCTTTCTGATGCAGCTAGCCTGCCTCTGGGTACCTAAGCACCAACTCCCACTGAGAGCCCAGCCAGCACTGACCCTGGATGATGGCCAGCAGGATGACGATGACGAAGAAGAAGAAGGTGATGTCGAAGACCACACGATAGAGCTCGTACTCATCCCCTGCCGGGTCCTCGATCTCGTCTCCTATGCCTCCGCCGGCCCGGACACCCACATACATATGAAATAGATAACACTGCAGAGAGGACATAGACTCACTCACTGTCTTTTTTTTTTTTCTTTCCTTTTTCTATGCCAGTTCTGGGGCTTGCACTCAGGGCCTGGGTGCTGTCCCTGAGCTCCTTTTGCTCAAGACTGGTGCTCTACCACGTGAGCCACAGCTCCACTTCTGGCTTTTGGCTGGTTAATTGGAAATAAGAGTCTCATAGATTTTCCTGCCCAGGCAGGCTTTGAACTATGATCCTCAGACCTCAGCCTCTTGAGTAACTAGGATGACAGGTGTGAGACACCAGCACCTGGCTTCATTCAACTTTCTTTGAAGCTCAGCCACAGCTCTGGGCAAGGCAGAGCTGGGGAAAGGGTGGTAACAGACAACCCCGGGTCCTGACATTCAAAGTTCCCAGTTCCCATGTAAGGATGGCAAACAATGACAGCCCAGGGGTGGGTCAGGGCTGGGGGAGGAAGGATGGTGGATCAAGATAGAGGGTAGATGGGGGAGGCACAGTATGATCAGTAGGAAACTGAGAGGCCTGTTGGCATCTGAGCTAGCCTCTGTGACAAGCAGGCTTCCTGGAAGAGGCTCTGTCCCCTAGTTGGAACTAGAAGGTGTTGGGTGATTGGGTGGTGTGAGACCAAATGTTCTAGGCAGAGAAAAAAAAAAGCAAAAAGCACGGGCTATGTCATTCTCAGGGAGGAAAAGACTCAATGCTATGGCTCTGGGGATGTAGTTGGGTGTCAGAGTGCTTGTCTAGCATAAGCAAAGGCCACGGGTCCATCCCCAACACTGCAGTGGGCAGGGGCTGGAGGGGGGGTGGGGGAAAGAATGGGGGAATTCTTGCTCCCATGAGGAACTGAAAGAAGTTTGATAAGACTGCAGAATGGAGCTGAAGTAATCAAGAGTAGGAGTCAGAGCAAGATAAGACAGGCTGTGGTTATGTGGTTACTGCAGGCCCTAGCTGAAACAACAGTCAGGGAAGACTTCCTGGAGGAGGCAGCCTTTAGGTTGAATGGTGCGGTATCAGGTGAAGTGTGTGTGCACGTGTGTGTTTGCGTGTGTGTGCCTGTGTGTTTTGTGGTAACCCTGGAATATGAGGCAGAGAAAGGTCAGGTGCGAAGGACCTGAGTCAGGAGGAAACACATGGTCTTAGAGGAATTGAAAGGAGATGAGGAGGTAAGGAAGCAAAAAAGCAAGAGAAATTGTAGTTAGACTAAGGCAGGTAGGACCAGATCTTCCCTGCTTATGTAAGTCAAGGTGGGTGATTCTACTTTATCTACCAGGTGTGATCCTCAAGAAGTTTGTTGTTTGTCCATCAGTCTGGTCGTGGGGCTTGAACTCAAAGCCTGGGCACAGTCACTGAGCTCTTTTGTTCAAGGCTAGCACTTCCAGTTTTCTGGTGATTAATTGGAGATAAGAGTTTCAAGGTCTTTCATGCCCAGGCTGGCTTTGAACCTGGAGCCTCAGGTCTTAGCCTCCGGAGTAGCTAAGATTACAGGTGTGGAGCCACCAGTGTCTGGCTCCTTAAGAAGTTTTGAGTAACAGGAGTGGCAGGACATGGTCCACTTGGCACTGGGGAGACTCCATGCTTGCTCTTGCTGTGTCCCAGGAACTGAGAATCTGGTGGCTCACCTTGTTTCCAGTGATGGAAGCAAGGCCTGGGATAGCAAGGCCTCCAGCATCTGGCTGAGAACCTGGACATGGTCCTGACATATTTGTTGTCTTGGTTTGCTTTTTTCTGAGATAGAGTCTCGCTAACATTGTCTAATTTGGTCTCAAACTCTCAATCATTTTGTCGCCTCCTCTGAGGATTGCAAACATGTGCTACTATGCCTGGCCATAATGCATAGCTGCACAGCTCTAATGAAACACGAGTTGTTATTTAAGGAATGCTTATGATATGTCTCTCAACAGGTCTACAAGGGAAGTTCATAACAGATGCTTATAAGTTGCTTTGGCAAAGCCGGGTGTTGGTGGCTCACACCTGTAATCCTAGCTACTCAGGAGGCTGAGATCTGAGGATCGCCGTTCAAAGCCAGCCCGAGCAGGAAAGACCATGAGACTCCCATCTCCAATAAACCACCAGAAAACCGGAAGTGGCGCTGTAGCTCAAGTGGTAGAGCGCCCGCCTT